TTTTCATTCATGATTACCAAAGTCCATTGCATGATCTCTTGCTGGAAAAATGGCAGTAGCGTATTTAGGGTGGACTTTGCGCTTGTTCTGATGGAGCATCTCACCATCGGGTCTTCCCCGTTTATGTGCGTAAGAGGGCACGAAACTCCTTGTCATCCCTGTGACCTCAGGAAAAGCCTCAGGCACTGCCTGGCCAGAATCAGGCACTCAGAGTAGACGCTGATGACTAAGAGTGTGACATCACATCTGACCTGCCAGTAGAAACGCTAGGAATCCCAAGGAAGAAATAAAAATGTATATCCCAAATGTTGTTGCACAATGCCCTCGCGTTTTCCTAGCTTAGTGGCTGCTGGTGGAAGAACATATGCTCCAGAGGAAGAACAAGAATACTTTGACATCAGTGTGTGGGCTGGGATTAGGAAAAGCTATGCTCTCTGCTGGGGGTCCTCTCGCTGCATTCTCAAGCAAGAAGAGCCGCACAGAGGGTCTGCGCCGGACAGAGCAGCAGGGCCGTGTGCAGGCAGGAGAAGGACGCTTCGTTCTGGCCGAGCGAGAGAATTCATCTTCACCAGCAGAGGGACTAGACTGACACCGGCGAGGGAGCCCAGGTAAATGTCAGTACCCCTTGCAGCCCTGGAGCCCAGAGCGCCTCCACGTCCAGCAACTATCCGCTGTCTTGGAAGGTGGAGCAATGCTGCCTGCCCAGCCAGCACCCACTCCCAAACCAGTTCAGGTGCGGACCTATTTCTGCCTAGTTCTCTCCATCAGACACCTTAACCTTAAGACTTTTAAGCAAAGGAATAACAGAAGGGGACAAACAGTGTGCCTGCTCTTCCCACAATTAACCACAGTGACTGATTCCTTGGTGCCCACGTGGCACATGCTTTTTGAGTTGCTCCTTTATTCACTGTGATGAAATTATTGAACTGCTTCACATTCGTAGATGCGGGAATGAGAGAAATTACAACCTGTATTTAAAAACAAATTTTATCTATTCAGTCCTAATCATTGAGAAACCAACAGAACTTTGCTTCCTTCTCTAAAGAGTTTGTAAAATGACCTAGGCCTTTGGAGGAGGGACGAGAAGGCTCCCCCTGCCTGTGTGGCGAGCTGCCAGCCTCTGGGCTCACTGCACACGCTCCCCGTGCTGTTCACTGCTGGGCAGTGTGAGTGAGGTAGTTTCCAGCCCTTCAGGCAGGTCTGTCATTTCTTTGAACAGGATCAGCAAGCCATCACCTTGGAACAAAATGGATTCCCCTAAGGGTTAATTTTAAAGCTCTTTACAGGAATCTACGATGTGATTACACAGTCACAGTCTGAGGGTGGTGGTGGAGAGGTACCTAGGAAAGGACCCCTTCCCTCTCATCTGGGGAGAAAGGCACATGGCACCTCTCAGAGGACTAGGATGCGGCTGATTTACAAGCACCCCAAGCCGTGAGGAATTCCACCTTAGTGGGACCAGAAAATTTAGGGTTAAAAACTTGACTCATTACTTCTCAGACACTTTAATTTCCATTTACTAGAATAATTTCTATATAATAATCTAACATGAAATACACCTATTTCAAGGGTGGCAACACTAAACTCTTAACATGTCTGTGGTTGAGTAATTTGAGAAAAGCGTGGCGCCCTAGGTTGCCCTGTGCAGACCGAGTTGAAGGTTTGGCCTGGGATGAGTTTCCATTATCTGGCTCCCCTGCCCCTGGAATTTGTATTTTACATTTCCTGCAGAGAACTGTTACATAAAGGCAAGTTGAAAAAAAAATCAGTATCTTAATTCATATTTTCTGGTAAAAATAAAACCTTGAGAATTACTGAGACACAAATCACAGACACTGGTAAATTTCAAAACATTACAAGTTTGGAGCTAAATGCCATTTTTAAAATGAATTAAAGTTTTAGTTGTATGTAAATCACTGTGTCTAAACCATTTATCAGTAGTTGGCTAGCTTATGCACCCAAAGTATGGGGAGTAGAACGTGTGCACAATCTGCCAGATTAGAGGGGCCCTGACCTCTGCCGTGGGAGGGGCCACATCGGCATTTGGGATTCAGCGTCATTCTGCATAAAAAAAATGTCCCACTCTACCACTTCGTAGGAAAATACTTCATCATTCCCTTTCCTGCTCCACCATCATACCTACAGCAAGTCTGGCCATGTCTACTCTGAGAAGACGACCTGCATGGAGTGGCAGTGCGGGGATGTCATACTACAGAGAATCGAGGGTACACGGTTCTAGGGGCAAGAGTCACGCAGAGTGGAAGACAGGGCACGGAGGAAGTCTGTCAAGACAGGCTGTGTCCACCTGGGGACTTAGAGTTGTGATGAGGTCACACCTGCCCCGCCATGCTGGCCCTCATGTTGCCCAGAGGCCCCGAAGCTCTGGTCCCTGTGTTCATGCTCTGCAGTGGGCACTGCCTCCCTCCTCAGGGGCCTCACGGAGCCCGCCTCTACCCACAGCCCAGGGGCCCCATGGGCAGGGAGCTGGGCTTTGCCCGAGCCCGATGCCAAGGCTTTTGGGCCCCATGGTGCAGGGTGGGGGGCTTGGGGCAGACAGTGATCTGACAGTTTATATTTTCCTTCCCAGGAAGTCAGAATGTGAAGTGTGAGAAGAGGCCAGAGCAAGGCGGGCGGGAAGACCCGGGCTGGGGGCAAAGCAGAGGCCCCGCACCGGCGGCAGCCTGGTGCGCAGCAGTCCCCCCCTCACGGAGCGGGCCCAGTGGCCGCTGAGACTGCTTGCTCCTGAGTTCTCCCCTTGCCTTTTTTATTTCTCTTGTCTTCTTAATTCTTTCTTTCTTTCTTTTGGTATCATTAGTCTACAGTTACAGGAGCAACATTATGTTTACTAGGCTCCCCCCTTCGCCAAGTCCCCCCCACAAGCCCCATTACAGTCACTGTCCATCAGCGTAGTAAGATGCTGTGGAGTCACTACTTGTCTTCTCTGTGTTGTGCAGCCCTCCCCCGTGCCCCACCCCACGTTATGTGTGCTGATCGTAATGCCCCTTTTCTCCCCCTTCTCCCTCCCTTCGCACCCATCCTCGCCAGTCCCTTTCCCTTGGTACCTGTTAGTCCATTGTTCTGTGATTCCGCTGCTGTTTTGTTCCTTCAGTTTTCCTTTGTTCTTATACTCCACAGATGAGTGAAATCATTTGGTACTTGTCTTTCTCCGCCTGGCTTATTTCACTGAGCATAATCCCCTCTAGCTCCATCCATGTTGTTGCAAATGGTAGGATTTTTCTTCTTCTTATGGCTGAGTAATATTCCATTGTGTATATGTACCTTTTTAAATGTAACTTTACCATAAAACTTGTAACCGAGGAAATCATGTATCTCTGTTCTTAACATGAAGCGTTCTAACAAACTAATGGCTAAGTTAGGACACAGAGTACTGATCCCGGGTCTGAATCTGTAAAACCCCACAGGTCCTCAGACAGTGCATCTCAGTGGCTGCACAGCTCCACTCCAGCCAAAGGGTTTTTCCAAACAATAAAAATATGGCAAAGAAAGTTAAAGATTTTCCCCATGGGTTTCTGTGGGCAGGGCTACCCTGCTGTACTAGATTCAGAATCCTATTCAGAATCTGCTGCTTGGTTATTCAAGAAAACAAACATTATTTTTTCACTTTTTACTTTGGGCTTCCTTCCTTTTATTTCTTGCTATCATGAGCCAATCATATGAGGAACTCGGTGAAGTTCTGGATGGAAAGGAGAGACCGAATCAAATGGGGAAACTAAATGGCAACAGACTCAGGGTAGCACGTTTATTTCTCAGTGATGGGCTCCGGAGGCGTGGGGAGTCACCGAAGTCACTGCATGGCTTGTGCTCCAGCCACGCCGCTCCAGTCCTTGGGGTTGAAGTTGACAGCCACTGTGGTATCTTGGCACAACTACACTTGCTTGTCAAATGAATGAAAGAAGGCCTAGTGCGATCAGTTGTATTTCAGTGAGTTCAGTGTTGCTGGTTACTACTGATTTAATAATATAACAGTAGTAACCATTTAATAAGAGATTTTTTTCAAACAATAATGATAGAGCACATGAAGATAGTATTATTTATAATGGGGCAGGGTTACGATTGGCTCTTGTGTCTGTGCTGTGACCAGGATTCATGATGATGAGTCCTTCCAGCTCAGAGACCCCAGGTTTTCCAGATTTCGGTTTCCCTCTGTTGCCTGATTTCTTTTACTCCCCTGCTTTACGTGGGGACCTTTCCCCAGTGAGGACACAGAAGGTCTATTTTCCCTTTTCCTTCCCTAGGCTTCAGAGGCCAGTAATTAGCACAATAGAAATACTTTTTCATTTCTCATTAGGTTAATCTTTGGTCATCTGACACCAATTTATCCACTATATTGTAAACATTAGAGAAGACATATTTGCTGCCTAAAAAGTTTTTTAAATTGTAAGAAATCTCAGTTTAAACATTTTCTGCCTGTGGCACTATAAGACAGACATGTTTTCTTACTATAAGCTTTGTGAAAACATCAAGAACTTCAAACTACACCAGGACTCCAGTTTGATTTTCTATCCATCACAAGAGTTCTGTACAGTATTCAGGCTTGTTTTTCTTTGCAGGTGCATGGGAATGAATGGAGCTGATTTGCCACCATTGCTATTTTGATGCAAACAATGGTGTAATTTGTTTCTTGGATTCTTTTCAATCCATTCTACAGCTGCCTCCCATCAAGTTTGGCTTCTCCAGCTTCTCTGTGGAATCTGTGCTCCCAACAAAAATGTCCTGGAGTAGCTGTACATCTTCACTTGCTGAAATTCACTAATATTTCTGTAGAGTGTTACCATATACAGAACACCATAATAGACGTTAACTCATTTAACTCTCAGATACTTTGCATATGGGACAAGCCTTTTTAAAATACAGGGACTTTCCCAAGATTACACAGCGGAAGTAGTATTTGAAAATCTTCTCTTTCTCCTTCAACGTGGTCATCCTACTAGTTCACATGTATGATAACCTCTTTTCTTGCGGTGCCTTACTTTTTATAGAATTTAAATGGAAAACGAGATGAGATGAAAACTCTACTTGAAATCTCCCCCATGTCAGCATTCTTCCTTCATGTTAGGAGTGAGGTAAGTCACTAAAATCTCTATCTAAAATGAATAAAATGCCTCAAAACAGTATTAGGAGTTAAAAAGAGCAGCATCTTGGCAGATCTGGGTCTCTGTCCTGTATGGTCTCTTCTGACTCAATATCCATTGTGCCCCAAGCACAAAACAATAATTAGAACAGAAAGGGTGCTTATACGAGCTTGAAGTTAAAAATCTCACATGAGAACCTCAGTTAGATAACTCATTTGAGGGCGGTGATGTCAACACTACGATTGTATTACAAGGAGAACAGTTGTGCTGATGCAATCAGATGGCAGCGTTAAGCAGTTTTTAAAGAATGCGTACTCTAAAACAGGAGATACATAATGACTTTCTCTGATATGGTCATGTCAGTATAGAAAGTGTTAAAAAATAAAGTTTCCCCAGAAGATGCCAAGGATGAAAATATATGTGGAAAGTGTCAGCAGTTACTTAAAAGGGAAATGGTGCCATTAGGTAACAACCTTACGGCTCATTATTTATGAAATCCTATGTCAATATGATAAAACTATAAACTGAAGGGCAGTTTCACATTTTTTCTCAAATTACTGCTAAAGTGAAAAATGTAATAGCTTCATAAATCAAACATTTTAACTGCAATTGCCTTTTTTCTCCCTTCCTATTTGTATAGAAACCTCTGAAACCCCTACTATCACCAATGAAACAAAACAGTAAAAGAGAAGATGCGTCTCAGTCCTTCTAAATCAGAGATGTTCTCCCATTTGGGTGAATATGTGCAGCCTAACAGGTCCATTAAAATCCACTCTGCCCTATGTTCTGATCTGTTCCGAAACTGGAGCAAAGGAAATCATCATCCCGTCCTGCTCACCCTCCTAAACACAGGCGAGGCTTCGGCGTCTCTGCATGGTCTGCCCCTTTCTCCCGCATCTTCTCCCCCTCGCTCTCTGCTGGCATCCCTGCACCGCATGAACCAGCGCAGGGACGGGCACAGAGTTGGGGCTTCGTGAATATTTGTTAAATAAGTGAATCATTTTCACCATTTGATAGTCTCCTGCAGATATTTAAAGTATTTTAACTCCAAGTAATCACTTGATCATGCCGAATAATTTATTATTTCAACAAATAAATGTCTGTTGTGTTCTCAGCATGAGAATAAGCATTAAAATAGATTAAGTGTTCATTCTTCCATCATTCAACAATCATTTTCTACAAGCTAAGGGTCAATTAAAATTATTAGATTAAAAATCAATATACAGAAATGTGTTGCATTTCCAATGAAAAATGTGCTAACAGACAAAATAAGAAATCAATCCCATTTCCATTACATCAAAAAGAATAAACTAGCTAGGAATAAATTTGACCAAGGAAATAAAAGAACTATACTCTCAAAACTATAAGACATTGATGAAAGAAATGGAAAAGTGCAAATAAATGGGAAGCTATTCCATGCGCATGATTAGGAGGAATTTATATTGTCAAAATGTATTACCCAAAGCAATATTAACCAAATCCAGTGCAATCCCCTTCAAAATACCAATGGCATTTTTCAGTGAACTAAAAGCAAATCCTAAAATTTATATGGAATTACAGAAAAAAAATAATTCCTGAACAGCCCAAGCAATTTTGATTAAGAACAAAGCTGTGGTATCATCTTCCCTGATTTCAAACTATACTACAAAGCTAGTGATACAAACAGTGTGGTACTGGTACAAGAACAGATACACAGACCAACGGAACAGAATATCCCAGAAATATATCCACGCTTACATGGTTACTATATGACAAAGGAAGCAAGAATATACTGTGGGAAAGGGAAAGGCTCTTCAATAGCTGGTGCTGGGAAATCTGGACAGCTACATGCAAGAGAATGAAACTGGACCACTTACACCAGACACAGAAGTAAACTCTAAGTGGATAAAAGGCCTAATGTAAGACAAAACCATAAAACTCTCAGAAGAAAACATTGGCAAGAATCTTGTGAATTGCATGAGCAAATTTTTCTGGATATGCCCTGGGCAAGAGAAACAAGCAAAGATAAACAAGTGGCACTACATCAACCTAAAAAGCTTCTGGACATCAAAGGACACTCTCAGCAAAATGAAAGGGCAACCTACTGCATAGGAGAATAGATTTGCCATAGCTATATTTAATAAGGGGCTAATATCTAAAATACAGAAAGAACTAATTATTAACACCAAAGAAACAAATAATCCAATTTAAAAAATGGGCAGAGTACCTGAATAGACATTTTTCCAAAGAAGACATACAGATGGCCAACAGATACATGAAAAGATGCTCCACATCATTAATCGTCACCAAAATGCAAATCAAAACCACAATGAGACATCATCTCGCACCAGTCAGAATGGCTTGTATCAAAAAAACAAGTGTAAAGAAGACTATGGAGAAAAGGGAACCCTTGCACACTGCTGGTGGGACTGCAAATTGGTGCAGCCACTATGGAAAGCAGTATGGAGGCTTCTCAACTAAAATAGAACATATGACCCAGCAATTCCATTTCTGGGAATTTACCCAAAGAAAACAAAAAAATCACTAATTCAAAAAGATAATATGCACTCCTGTATCACACAAGAGCCAAAATACAGAAACAAATGTAAGTTTCCACTGACAGATGAATGGACACAAAAGAGGTGGTACATATATGCAAAGGAGTATTATTCAGCTGTAAAAAAGAAATGCTGCCATTTGTGACAACATGGATAGTATAGACCTGCTGGGTGTTATGCTAAGGGAAATAAGAGAAAGACAAATACTATATGATGTCACTTACATGTGGAATCTAAAAAGCAAGACAAATGAACAAACAAAACTGAAACTCAAATGCAGAACAGACTGTTGGCTGCCATAGGGGAAGGGGATGGAGATGGGTGAAATAAGGTTAAAAAATTAGAATGTTTGATATCTGGATGATGGTTAACATGAGTATACACATGTCAGAATTCATCAAGTCGAACATGTAAGATTTGTGCATTTTATTGTATAGTCCTGATAATAAAAACTGAAAAATGTAAGAAGTGAGTTCCTTCAGATAAAATTTAAAAAAGTACATATAGGAAAGTGGAATAGTTGGATCATAGGTATGAACACGGTCAACTTTATACATAACAGTGTCATTGCAGTTGTGCTAAGACTGGACGAGAGAAAAATCTGCTACAAACTTGCCAGTTTTTCTTTTTTGCTAATTTGGTAGATGAAAATGGTGCTCCACTATAGTTTTAATTTCCATTTTTTAAATTTATTAAGACCTTGAGCCTCTTTTTTACATTTACTGGCCATTTGAGTATCTGCTTCTATAGGTTGTTCTTTCTGATTTTTCAGCTGGACCATTTCTTTTCCAGTCGGCTCACAAAAACATCTCAGTATATCGTAGATCAGGGATGTCCACCAGAAATACAACATGAGCCGCTTAGATAACTGAAAATTTTCTAATAGCCACATTAAAAAAGTGAAAGGAAAAGAGTGAAATCAACTTTAGTAATATATTTAACCTAATATACATATTTTCATTTTAATATATTCAGTATAATAATTAAGATATTGCACATTGTTTTTCATACTAAGTCTTTGAAATCTGGTGTGTATTCTACTTTCATAGTACATCTCAGTTGAGACGAGCCACATTTCAAGCCCTCAAAAGCCACAGTGGCTTTGTGCCTGGCCTACTGGGTGGCACGATTCCAGATAGTAAACATTTGCCAGGTAGATAATTACAGATATCTTCTAGAAGTGTGAGGCGGCTTTTTTTTTTTACTTCCTTTAAGATATTTTCTGCCTGTGGCACTGAATCAAAATTATAGTCAAACATATAATTTCCTTTATGGCCTGCATTTTCTATGGCTGGTCTAAAAAAAAAAGTCCTTCACTTTCCCTGGGTCATAAAAACACACAGCTATACTGTCTATTATAAGTTTTACAGTTTGCAAGTAACAAAAATAACAAAAACGTAAGTGAATTTAGCAAGATTGCTTTTGTCAAGGTCAATATAAAAAAACCTACTGTATTTTTCACATATTAGAACAAACCATCAGAAGTTGAAATAAGAAAAATTCCATTAACAAAAGCATCAAAAATACATTTTTAGGAATAAATTTGATGATATGCAAGATTTGTACATTAAAAACTGCAGAAAAACAAAGACTAAATAAATGCAGAGATATACTTTGTTTATGCTTTATTGTTAAATATAACAGTATTTCCCAAATAGATCTATAGAGCCAACATAGACTCAGTCAGAATCCCAATAGGCTTTTCATAATTGACAAGCTGATTCTGAAATTCCTAGGAATTGCAAGGCACCTAACGAGCCAAGACAGCTTTGCTGTATGTATCTCAGCCCCTGGTGGGAGTCCTTGGAGATGCTGGCTGCACGAACACCCCTCAGAACCTGACCTGCGTGAAGCCAGCCAAAATGCCCTCTGTATGGACAGCTGGCCCTGACTTCCGGGATGGACTCTGCCTTGGGTGCGTGGGGGGCCTCTTCTTCTGGAGCCTCCTGACAGAAACCCCGTCTTGGCTCTCAACACTCCTCCGAAGGTTGTTTGTACCCTGCTCTTCCTCTTGGTAGGAATCCCTCTCTTTAAAGGTGTAATTTCTAGGGTCATTCAGCCAAGCAGTGACATACTTTGAAAATAAATGATGCCAGAACATCATGTGGGAACAGAAGCAAAAGGAAACCTTGACCTGAAAATTGACCCCCAATCTAAAAATTTTTCTTTTAGTTCAACTCATGCATCACGGTTGGTAGGCGTTGGACACTGGCTGCCGTGCTCAGGAGGATGGGCTGCGAGGAGATGCCAACATTTTCTGCTTGGAACTTACACCCACTCCCTTCTGTCTGGTACCGAGACACTAACCCGCTCCGTCTGAATCCCTGTGGGCCGACGATACCTAGAACCGGGCACAATGGCCCGGGGCACCAAAACAAAAGGAAAGCGGCTCCCTGCCGCAGGATCACGAGGCCTTCGCCCCGACCCTCGCCGCGCACCCTTGCAGGCTGGCGCTGGCCTGCTTGTATCTTCCCTCTGCGAATATCCCCTCCTTGTTTTCTGGGGAGATTCTTTGGGTGACCACCCTGCTCCATCTGTTTGAATAAGGTATCCTTTTTTGTTGCATTTTGAGATTCAGAGTCTGAGAAACGGACATTCCTTTTCTCTCATTTTTGAAAGATACGCTCACTGTGCACAGAATTACGTTGATGTGCTCACTGATGATATGATTCAGTTTTCTTCTGGATTCTGTTGAGAAATGATCTGTCAGTCTAACTGCTCTACCCTGGAAGATGACTTTTTTCCCCACCTTCTTTAGTTGCTTTTAAGATTTTCTCCCTCTTTGTCATTCAGCAATTTCACACTAATGTGTTTAGTGTGGATATTGCCTCACACTGCTGGGGATGCTTCGGGCTTCTTAACGCTGTGGAGTCAAATATTCTGGAACATTCTCAGTTATCATATCTTCAAATACAGCCTCTTTCCTGTTCCTCTGTGTTCTCCATCTAGGAGTATGACGTGAAGAAGTCACACTTCTTATCATAACCTCTTTTTTATCCTCATCTCTTTCTCATGTTTTTCATTTTTATGTTTCTTTAGACTTTGTTCCAGGTAACATTTTCATATCTGCCTTCCAGTTCATTAATTGTACTAAGTCAAATCTGCCAATAAACTATATAACCAAAATTTTAACTTAATTAAAAATTTTAAACTCTTCCAGTTCTTTCCCCGTATTTTTCAAGAGTCTCTTACTTTTAAAACATATTAACCATTGGTTATTTTACATGTAACAAATCCAGGGCCCGGACTCTGCAGGGCCGTTCCCGCTGTGTGTTTCATTGATTCTCATTCGTGGTGCCTCGTGCCCTTGTGTATTTTGTGATTCGGACTGTGAACTGCCCCTTTTCCTTACAGTTTTATCTATAGGAAATGATTTGAGGCTTTGGTATTTCCAGAGAGAATTTATCTATATATGCTTCTGCTAGACCTTCCTGTGGGTGCTGTAGAACCGGGACCACTTTAGATTAAATCAGAGCTGGCATTTTACAGAAAGAAGGAACATGAATTCAGGCTGAGGCCGACGTGAGGGCTGACTTCTGATTTAAATGCTTGGCGTAGAATGACTTCCCCTCTCTCCAGGGCTGACAAACAAGTTTCT